CTGGTTTAGAGCAAATGTTACATGGGTACATTTTTATTCATTGAATTTGATACGCCATACTGATAATCATTGCTTAAGTTGATGAACATGATATTGAAGCATGCGTTATGGTATTGCGGGGTTTTTGTGTATACTTAGTATTGCTATGTCGTCAGTAAATGTTGCAGTAAAGGTGTTTACCGAAGATGACATGTTACTTATATACAGTAGGTGTAGTAGCGGAACTATTACACTTCCTTGGAACTCCAGCTTTGATAGGACAATGTTCTGAAATAAAATTTTTATATCTTAAACTAAAAGTTCTTTTGCTAAAGTTGAGTGTTAGCTGGCATAAGAGTAGTAATTGTATACATTAAGTCTTCGTGCCATCTACATCCATAAATATGAAAGTGCAGTATTATTTATTTTTAAATGAGTTTCTTACGAAGGATATAATACGATGCACTTGTTCAGTTGTACTATGTTTAGGTCTGATGTTCCGAAATTACTTTGTTAAGAATATTGGCATTATTTTCATAATTAGCAGCTTTTCAAATAGTTTGATAATACTAGAAGGACGCTAATTGGTCTGTAGGATTCTACTTTGGTTTTGTTATTTGTGACATTTTCCAAAGCAATACAGGATAATACCCTGTCCATAAGATAAGGTTAAATAAATGCCTGTGAATAAATGCCTAAATGCTCATTGTGGTAACTGTTTCACCATTGCAAATAAGACTTTATCAGGTCCTGCTGCCTTTTTCGCATTGAGATCTTTTATAATTTTGGTGATATGTTATAGTTCAAAGATAAGTGAACTGCTCGATGGATATAGGTTTGTAATATATGTAATATAGGATATAGGTAAAGAAGTAGTTTTTGAAGCATCATTTGGAGGAAACACATTTTCCAAGTGTTTTACAAATATGTCCCCTTTCTCAGAGTCACTTCATGCCTACTCAGCATCTGAGAGTAGATTCTTGCTGGATAGACTGTTTGAGGTACTTTTTTGCCTTTCTAAGTGAATAGTCCGTTTGATCATTAGGTGTCAAGCAAACCAATTTCTTGGGTTCTTTTTCCAATTCTTATCGAAGCCACTTTAGCACCCATTTAGATTACCCATTGAGAAAATTGGTTAGTACAGGCATCAATTTCATTAATCACTTTTAACGAAACATGTTGTCGTATATGACAATAAACATATTTACGAAATTTTAAATAGTTCATATTTTTCGTTAGACTCTGCGTTTGGATAGCTCTGTTCTGTTGACTTTGTATTATTATTATTGTTGGTGAGTGATCTGATGGCAGTTCAACTAATGGATTTGCGGTGATTATTTATGGTTTAATATTTTTGCTTGCATCATGCTTTGCATACCAAACAAAAAAAATTAAGACTTTGGATCAGTTATTTTAGCGTTTCTTCTAAATTACCCACTGCCGGTTGCGCAAGTAGTTGAACATTTTCTATTAATACATTTGAATAACTTTTGCCTTGAGAGATTGTTACTTCTGGATTGCTTATTTGTCCTTGGTAGTAATTTTTGGGTGGCACAGTATTTAATTGATTTTTGGGAATTGTTCTCTGTTTAACTACAAAAAAAGACAGTGCAACCACTATAGTTTGCTGTGTGATTTTTAACGCAATTGCTGTATTTTTTTCACACGCATCTTCTTTAGGTTTTGAACATATGGAAGATTTGTGTAGATTTTCACATATTACATATACACTGGGTAAGGTGCAATAGGCTCGAGTATGGCCAAATTGTTGGCAGTTAGTGCACTGTTTTTGATCTTTTCTTTTAAAAGGTTCTTCTACTGTTATCCTTCGATGTAAAAGATAACGAAGATTGTAAATTGGGTATACTTCTCCTGTAGCGAGATTTTTTTACATTTATATATTGGTTGAGGTATATTATCTTTATTTTTAATATTAAAGATGGACTTTGTTTCACATTCCGCTTCTATCAAGGTCACTTTTATATCGGATTCCGGTACGAAATATTCTACATCTTTAATTACCACATTTAAAGCTTTGCTACTTTTTAACTAATAGGTGTAATAGCTTTTGTTATTGAAATCAGAGAAGTGTATAGTTTTTCTTTATTTAAATAAGTCTTTTTTATGAGTATTAGTTCTATTTACATTTCTTTTCAAGAGTGTAATCACGTAGAAATGTTTATCGCCCATAATGTATGTTATCTCCGTTAAAATGTCCTTTTAAAGGAGCCTCCTTTTATTTAAGGAGGAATGGTTTTGAACTAATTTTGTTTGTTTTGTTACTTGACTAGTTGGTTTTGTCATAGGGCTGCGTCTCCTCTTTGTAATAAGAATGTATCTATTTATTCCTCTCTGAATTTTATTGCCGCTGTCTTGTTTGGAAGCACTTTAAAGGTTGTTCAAGTGTTCGTAAGTATTTGTTGTTCAATTTGGTAATTTTTGATTACAAACATTTTTCTTTTTTTTCTGATACATGTCATTGCTGTGAAACATTTGTTGATGGAGAATTTAGCAATGAAGATCCACATTTAGCACTCGATGAAAAAGTTTTTGATGTGCATGCGCTATGAGAAGATCACTTTTGCGTGCAGAAGAAGACGGCCACAAATTAGTGACTTTATTTGTTTGTATACTTACTCCCTCAATAACTTGTTTAGTTCGTGCTCAGGGGGAGAAGGCTGAACACTCATTTTTGGCTTTTATTCGTTTGACGCAATTTGTTGTTTTATTTTGTATTGATATTAAAGATTGAAGTAATTTAAAATACACTTCTAAGCTCAAACAAAAGCAGGGGAATTTTAAGCATCTAAGTATGAGGATGTCATTTTGCAAATTTTAGATTTAAACACTCGCACTTTCTGTATTTGAATTATTTGAAAGCAATACTGTTGAAATGTTGTTACTATTGCTGTTACCCCACACAATGTTGCGTGCGTTCGCATCGCATTTCATGACGATTTCTATGCTTTTCGTTCTGCAATACTCCCCTGGGGGTAGTTCAGTAGCGTGTGATGGCAGTCCGGTCAATGCCACAATAAGGTGTTTGCATCGCTCTCTACTTTTACCGTAGTAAAGTCTGGTAAGCATAGATGAGGCAATTGGATGTAGATTATCCCCTTCCATTATGCATCATAATGCATGCCCTTATTTCTCCACCTATCTGTGAAAAGTACAGCGTGACATGATGTACCGAGTTTCTTAATTGCGTTTTAAACATTCCAGGGCTCTTGAATCAATAGTAGATCCTACTCCCTGCGGTCTGAATCGCCTCAGCGTCTTCTTTAGAGCACCACAGTATAAGCATAACGCCAGCATTGCCTGCATCGTCAAACTTACTTAAGTTAGTGACCTTCCATTTCGAAGTGTCTTTAACACAGCCGTTTTGCTTCTGTGGTCTGCTGAGAATACTTTCCCTGCCTACAGTAGAGTCGTAGACAAATAAGAATAATCTCCAAAGGCGTTCCAACTTAGTTACCGTGCTGACTAGCCATGGATTGCTGGTTTTTACATTTAATGGTAATGTAACCATCCTCAAGGCAAGCATTACTATAAACCCAATGTCACCTATTCCATCATCTAGCGGCTCCACGGTGTTCAACAAAGGTGCTTTGAAAGCAACTTAATGGTTCTCGCCCAGAGGTCCTTCGACTCTTAAATCAATTATACCCATATTGAGATCTGTCCTGACTGCCTGGATGTTGGACTTCTTATGAGCATTGCCATCGTTTGCACCTCTTACTGCCCGCTTGTAAGAGTTCTGCTTTTTTGCAGTCTTTCTGGTGCTAGGCAGTTGATCCGCCATCCTAGTTTGCGACTCCACTTGGCTAGCAACCGCTGCTGGTTTTCCACCTTGTTTGACCCCAGCCTTCTGACCTATAAGTTTTGGTTAGTTGACACCCTGTATGGGTTGTCCGCTTTTCCTTATCCCAAGTCCGATTTGCGTCAGCCGTTATCAGCCGTTAAAGGTTGTGCACCACGCCTACCAACAGTCCTTTTACCAACCAATGCGTGTCGGTTGAGTACCTGGTGAGGTACTCCCCCGGTGTTTTAGTTGGGTCTTTGACCGCCGATTTAGCTTGACTATTATCTTAGTTGAAGGAGTTGAACTGTCGGAGTATCAGGGCAACCACCCTTATGCCCCTTTGCCAGGTGTTCATTCTCCAGCGATGACTCCACATAGTTCGCTAAAGCGATCGGCTAGTTGTTCAACCGATCTTGTGACTTTTGCAGCCTTTTGCCTTTGTCTTCTTCGCTTTTGCTTCTCCCTTTTATTCAGAAGGATACGCTCGGCTAAGTCGAGATCAGTCATTGCTAAGTCGAGATCAGGGGCTTCTTCGTTCACCATTTCAGTGGTTACATGACTGCGATGCGTCGTAGTATCTGAAGCTACGGTTATCAGATCGGCCTGTGAGGCCTCATTGTCCACCTTATCAGCGTCAACCACTTCGACCTGCTTAGATTTATTAAATTTTCATTTAAATCCATTTTGTTCCCACAAGTTGCGAAGAGAAATATCTACCCCAGTAGCTACGCTAAAGACGTAGCTATTCCATCTTATTTTGGGGGCTAATCCTTCAATAAACGGGTGTTGTGCTTCACCCCCGCCCGTCTATCTTGTCAAGCGATAAGTACTCTACTTTGACTTGTGCATTTTCTCTTTTAGTAACCTTTTACAATATATTGCAATATATTCGAGAGAATGTTATCGAAGAATATGAAAAGAATGTTAAGAATCCACTTTCGCATACTCCACCAGACTGCGATAACATCAAAAATAGCAAAAATTGTCTAAGAATTCTCAATATGTTAGAGAATTTCAATACTGTAATGATAAACTGAGTCCCAAAATATGATAGCAATGAAAAGTTTCATTGCAATTTGTCTCTAGCTAAGAGAGATGTGCCCTCAATTGATCTTATAACTTTTTGGGGACTCACAAAAAATTCATTCAATTACGTTGTCAAGAAATATGAAGAAAATAAATTTGCAGATCACTGGTTCAATAGTGTAAGCCTACGATTTATTATCCCAGCAATAGAAATATTAAGCAATAAACTTTTGCTGCGCAGAGAATCAAAAATTTTATTGGGTCCCTTTACGAATTATTTTAGTCTGTGGTATCACTTTAATAGGATGGAAATATACGACACTGATATCTGTCGTTTACATATATAGGCTTCGAAAGCTTAGAGAAAGCTTTCTCAATTAGATGGTATTATTGTCTTCAAATAAATTATAAAACAACAAACCCCAAGCCATGCTAAAATTTATATAAAGCCTAAATATATATATGTAAACATTAAAGCAATGCACAATACATTTATTTACATCACAGTGATTTTTTGTCTTTAATAATTTATTTTTAATAACTCCCAGTTATTTGCACTGACTTAAAACACCAAATAATACTGAGTATCTTCATTTTAGGAGGATATCAGATCGCTGTTTGATTCTATTGACTTAAAATTTTAAAATAATTAAAATATTCAACTGAAATCTTTTCAGTCGAAACCATGTTCTTGAAGTTGGACTAATTCCCTGGCGAGTAACTTCGGGTGAACCTGAAGGCGAAATACATACAGTGATAACCAAATTATTGCCAAACTTTTTGCAAATATAAAAAAACAAATTTAAAAAACATTTATGGTAACTACAATATAGGAATAACATGTTTTTTCCAGAAAGAAGTTATCAGATTGATGAAATTGTGTTAAGAGTTCATTAAAACCTAAGTGTGCTAATAATTTTGTTCAGACTAAGGGCCATGTTATGCACGGCAAAATTCGCTCTTTCTGGCTATGCCAGAATCAGTATCAGTAATCAGACAATACATCAGTATTGTCAATTTTGTATATTTATTACTTCTTGGATGTGTCTAAATTTAAAAGGAAATTTAGGTATGCTTACTTTCAACTTGTAGCAAGAAAAAACTTATAGACGCTGTAATAATGTTAATTTATTATTATATTATCTTATAATAATTGTTAACAGTACTTATCCGTTTCTTTAAAATCAGAAAGTGTAATAATTATATTATTAGCGGTTTACAAAAAAGGCTATTTTGCTTACTGCGATTTTATTCCCAAAACGTATTAGAACTGTAGTAATTTGCTCCTAAAAGGCGCAAATTTTGAAATTTATTACTAAACACTGGTTTAACTTAGTGCCGGGGCACAAATACGCCGGCTCTCATGACTGAGTTTGAACAGCCATATTGTTTTTTCTCTCATTCTCCAATTTAAAATTTGGATTGGAAACAACAACAATTGTACTCATTTTTTTGGCTTTTAAATATTAAATTAAATATAAGAAATAATATAATAAAATAAAATAAATTTAATATCATATTAAAACAGTGTTGAATTTCAATACGCCTGCTGTGCCAAAAATTATGTTCTTCACTGTACATGTTACGCCTTTCAACTTCTTCTATTACTGTGGACATTTGAAGATAAAGGGGAAATTTCTCATTAGAAACATACCAAGTGGAGACACAAATCATAAGTAAAGTAGCTTCTATATCTATTGCGTCTTATCTGTTTTAACAATCGTCACAGTATCCCGTTACATGATTTCTCTTATACAATAGTTCGATTAATGGGACCTCTCTTAAAAGTTGTTGAAGGTTCTGGTAATTTCTGACACAAACAATTGAACATTTTGTTTTATAGTAGTTTGGACAATTGTGCATAATAAGTGTTTATAGAATGCGTACTTAAAAGGGTTTCTTTATATGAGTGACTTAAAGTTTAAAATAAATCTTATTAACTGTATTTTAATTCAGAATTAAATTTAACGTCAAAAGTACATTTCAATAGGATACTTGAAACTAAATTACAAACCTTAAAATCTTTCATGCAATTGGGAGGCAAGTCAACATCATCTTCTGATTTTCTGCGTAAGTTCACTGTAGGTTTTTCATCCTGAATTTCAGTAAAAATATCTGCAGTTAACTCCCTATTACTAGCATTACTGGCCAAGCTTACAGAGTTTAGAGCAAGGTTTTCATTTTGAATTAACTTTAAAGTTGCACTGTAACCTTTTCCACAAACCTTGAAATCATTTAATATCAGTTGTTTATATCAAATATGTAAAATTCTTATACCTCTACTAGATTACCGAGAGATCGCAAAAAAGTCTCTAAACTTGAATAACCTAGTTTTGCAAAGGGTATTTGATATCCTTCACTTTTGTAAAAGTCTTGACTTAGCTTGCCTACAGTAACTTCATGCTGATGGCATTTAAGAAGCGACTTAATTACAATTTTTGTTTCCTCTAACTGTGACAGTTCCATTGCGAAACTTAATCTTATTCAGATCAAAAATAATTATTTGCTTGATTTTACGATGCCAATGCCAATTATTAAAAACTGAATTGAAGTAAAAACTGTAACAATAATAACAACAAAACACAACAGAACCAACCTAATAATAACTTTTTAAGACAGGAATTGAATGGATATAGGAACATGAAAAGAATGGAAACTTTATTGTGAACGGAACAAAATAATAAATTTATTCTCAAAAATTGCACACAAATCACACAAATATTTTCAACTTTACATTCCCTAGAACCGTTTTCGGACCGAATTCGGTTCTAAACTAAATAAATAGCGTACTCTATAGAAAATTTTTAGCGGCAATGAGTTAAATTCTGCACTTAAATATTGAAGATTTAGTAAAGATTATGACAAAAGGCAGTTCAGAATTTACTAGAATTTAATTCCTAGTTTCCAAGAATTTCAAAATATTTTTAAAGATCATTAAAAGCAAAGAAGATTTTATATAGAACGGAAACTTAAATGAGCACAACAGAAAATAACAAACACACTCTCAAAAATTGCACTAATACCATCTCAAAACGTACATTTATTTCCAAATTGAGCAAATTTAGGTCCTTATTCGCTCCGAATACGGATCTTAACTTGCTCCGAATAAGAACCTGTTGTGTCAGCCCAGATGGTTTGTTATAGTATTTAAGTGCCCTGCATGACATGGTGGCAAGCCCGGTATGCTCGCCGGTTTAGGGGTGGGGTTCTTGGCTACTCAAATCCTACTGCTGACATCGAACAAAAAAAAAACATGTCATGACTTACTTCCATCCATTTTCGTAACAAAAAAATAAACTATATCTTCTTCATAGGTATATATATATTCTATATACATTCTTCTATTCACTTACTATAACTAGGTAGATTAATAACTATTACTAAAACTAATATATATCTTTCAATTTCAAAACTTGCATATATAATCCTAATTCTTTATAATTCAATTTTTTTTTTGTTTGTTTTTTTTTCTTCTTTTCTATCCTTTTTGTTTCAATTTAACTCAATTGGTCTTTCCATCACTTCATACTACTGACAAAAAAACAACAGACAATACCTAACCACCCAGACATAATGTTTTTTTTTTTTTCTTTTATATTTTTGGTTTCTTAAATTTAAAAAAACATTCATCGTAGAAGATGGGCATTGTTTTTTTCCATTTGAAATTATTACACAGGCCGCAGGTGTGTCATTATTGGGAGAACGTCCGGCTTCTCCAGGACTCACGTCCAGAGCACGCATCATTTGTATCATTTCTTTCACAATGCAGTGATGCTCCTCATAGCTAACCTGCGGCATTGGTCCCTCAATACATTCATTGACAGTAGCCATACTTCTATATTGATCAATAGGCACGTCCGTGGTTTACTGTGCCTCTCTTTACTTAACTGATTTTATTTTTGCTAGGCCCCCTTGATCTACCTGAAGCACACCTCTAGAGCTAACAGTTGGAGTCTAAATCATAATTAGGCTATTGCTATTAGCCGAATACAGTTCCACTCACATAAGAATATATTAATTTGTATAAGTGTAATCAAAAACAAAAGTTTTCTGGTTTAAATTTAAATCTTTCCTCTTTTTTCTTTTATTTATCTGTTTATTATAAAGTAATAATAACAAAAAGAGAGAAAACAAAAAAAAATATATATATATACTGACAAATGAAATAAAATTTATTCATACATCATAAAAAAAAACTAATATTTTTAACCATCATCTATTGTTATATACTTATATGTATACTTATAAATATAATTGAAATTAAGTACATATCTAAATCAAATTAGATAAAAATATCTCTAATGCACATCAATTTTTTTTTTTTTTTTACTATCAACCTGCGTTTATTATTATTTTTTTTTTTAATTGAGTTTATACCAGGTACTTACTAGCCCCGCTGAAATACCGTCACCTCGCGCGCTCCAGTTACCTAGCTGCATAAAAAAAATTAAATAGAGAGAGTTTATGTAAAACACATGAATCCGTGTCTATATTGCAAAGCAACTATTAATGTGCTTAAAGAGATTTTCTGTCTTTTGAAAAATTTATGTTCACAATAACTTGATTTATGTATTCATTATTCATGTATTAATTAAAAACAATAAAAAAATTCAAAGAAACTAAAAATAATAAAGAAACTAAAAGATACAAAAATTGATTTTTTTTTTTTTTTTTTTTAAATTCACTATAAATATTATTATATTGTAATGTAATAATTATTGTAATGTAATAGAAAAAAAATTCAAAAAAAATTAAAAGAAAATACGGATATATAAAAAAATTAATGATTTTTACAAGTAAAACTTAAGTTCAAATAGATATAATTCCATATTTTTATATAATTTCTTCTTTTAATAATTTATAAAATATCAGCGAATTTACAATCTGCGACCTCAATGTTTTCTCAATAGAACTGATGTTGAAATACCTGATAATGCCGCTACTTATACAGTTGGTTCTTTTATCCTTTTGCCCTCCGTTAATATAGCTGTCTGTTTGCGGTGCTCAGCAATTCTTTACTGTACTCCCTATTCTAGGTCAACTTTCACCACATTTTACTGTTCACAGTTTGGAATTCTAGGTAGCCAAATGTTAAATACTTTATATACACAAAACTGCTACTTTTGGTAATAACTTTTATATTTTAATTTTTATATAATTTCGTTCTTGTTCACAATACGTAGTCACTCTTACAGACTTTATTTCAACAAAACTGCTACTTTTGCAGTAACTTTTATATTCTAATTTTTATAGAATATCGTTCTTGTTCACAATGTTGAATTTAAAAAAAAAAACAAACTGATCTAACTATATCAGTATTCTTTCAAACAATATCATTAGTTTTCACAAACAAAAAAAAACTTTTCGCCAAAATTATATATATAATATTTAAAATTCTTGTTAGTCTTCTGATTGTTAACACAACCTTTCACCATCTAGATTCGCCAAAACTGATCCTTTTTTCAGCTCCGCTTCCCAATTTTATACCACCGCTAATACTTGTAACTGGCCTTTTTTTTAAATTTTTTTTTCAGTTACCAAAAATTTGCGGGGTAGCAGAACCTTCCGTTCTCCTAACATTTTGTTTGTTTTGGTTTTCTTTTTTTTTCTTTTTCTACATTCCGAATATTTAACACAATAAAACTCCTAATTTAAATGCTCTGCCCTATTGGCAGCACTAAAACTTTCAAGTTCGGAATGTGTATGAGCTTTCGCCGCGATCTTACAAACCAAAACAAAAGACAATAATAGAATCAAAAGCTTTCAATTATTTTGCTTGGAATGTGCGCGCAATGCACATGTTAATTTTTATTATCTTTATTTTTTTTATTAGTGATTAACGTAAAATAAAAATATAAAACAGATTTTATAATATAAAAACAGATTTTCTACTGCTGGCGAGAGGAATACTGAAGGGGATACTGCGTCCTATACCTGCAAGGTGCTCTTGGACAGCGTGGGACAACCCAGGTAAAATCAAACTATTCTTTTCTTTTTTTTTTTTTCTTCACTAACAATACGTATCCTTTACCTAGGCCTACATAACAAACCTTAAGTTACTCTTAAGAAAAATTTTATGGGCAATGAATGCAACAGGGAGCATAATTTTGGTTCTCTGTTTTGATTTCTTGACAAAAAATTTGAATGCACTTCGCTATATTTAAAAACAAATTACCGGGCAATTGATTGTTAAAAAGTAGTAAAACTAATTTGCGCCCAATATTAGAAAAAGTATAAAGCAAAAAATGATCAAGGTGATTTAATTATAAATTTTTTTGAAATAATAAAGTAAGTAAATAATAATAATTATGTTTTAAAAATACTAGTGCATATAATTAATAAATTAATGTTTTGTAGATGGCAAGACATTGTGTTAGAGGCTGTGCCACTTAAAAGACGTTACACAAATTTCCAGCAACCGATGATGAAGGATCTGTGAGATCTGTGAAATATTTGAAGTATGAAATATTTCTTTGGCAAGTTTTCGTATTGGTCTATTAATATACAGTACTGTGCAAATAATAATAAAAAATACCATCACTATTGTTTTTTTATATGTTTTACAACTACTGTATTTAAGTATTTTAAGATGCTACATTTTTAATATTAAGTTTATTATAAACATGTTTATTCCATATTTACTTATTTGTCTAACTATAACCGTTTGAGAATTGTATAAATTGTATCAAGTGTATTTTATAATAAAAATTAAATTTATATATAAATAAATGAGTTAAGTGTATATTTTTTAAATACATAAAAGATAACGAATGTGTGTGTTAGATGTGTCTCTAAAAAAGAATACTATAATAATTAATTTCATGTTGTTTGAATTTATTTGCAGTAAAAGAATGTTGAAATGTTTTTAAAAACTAAAATTTTTGAAAACATCAAAAAAGTATGAAGCAATTATTTTGCAACACAACTTTTTGTATAAGTATTAAGAAAATTTCCCCAAAACTAATAATACATAAAATAAAAACAAATTATAATATTTAATTCATTAACACAAAATGTTTATTAAAAATTAACGATGTGCGCACACACCCTTGCGCATCAACGACTACAAAATTCGTTTTACGAAATCATAAAATGAAATTTTGTAGGCAGCAATCGAACCATGCTCGTTGACATGCGTGCGCACCCTCACGCAACTATTTATTCAGTACTGACTATAAAATTCGTTTTACGAATTAATAAGAATGAAAATTTCTTAGGCAATGCTCTATTTTAAAAATGCATTCACCATAATGGAGTGGCCGTGCAAGCAATAAAATTAGTATTTATTGCGATTGTTTAAAAATTTATTTAATTTCGAAATAATTTTCTACAATTTCTAACGAAAACCAATATATATTAAATAAATTTTGGAATATTATATTTCTTGAAGTGAACAATGCTATATACTCAGTTATTTATTTCTGAAAATAAGTAAAATAAATTATAATATGACTTTTGATATATCTAACACTGAATTATTATAAAAATTAATTATTTCTATTTTTCAGTATATAATTTATTTGCATAGATGTGTGAATTTTATGCTACATGCAATTGTAAATTGTATATAATAATGTCAT